TTCCCTATCATTTTAATAAACTTAAGCCCTTTACTAGCATGCAAAGTATATGTTTAAAATCCTCTCCCGTGTTGTAAAAGGTTCTTATCTCCCACTTGTATTCACTCATATTTTTTTACCAACTTATGCATTGGGAACTTATTCTTAATGCATCCTTCTTCATCTATATTTTCACCTCCAACTTCTTCCTCGTCATCGAGGCTTTCTGAATCTTCACTTTCATATCCTTCATTTGAATTTTCTTTGCATTCTATATTAACCTCCTCAATATCGCTGGGAAAATATTCATTACCATCATCCACTTCTTCTTCACTATCATTAAAGTCAATACTCAAGGCACTATTTTCATCAGAATTGTTCTTCATTTGTTATGGAAACCTTTGAATCTATACATAACTCCAGATTGTATAATAAAGAAAGAATTTAGATCAAACGGCAATAAGTTTAAATATATGTGTTAATTCCAGCAAGGCAAATGAACAATGAAATAAGTCTTACTTGCTACGTGGTTATGCAAGCAAGTGGTGTTGGTATACAAGTGAATATTCTAAAACAGGACTCTATTCCTTTCTATTAAATGTGAATTCTGATTCTGACATTATTTTTGTTCACTAGTCTACTTGATAATTCCTATTTGGGTGGCATTTATTTGTATTATGCTTGTTGGTGGTGATCACCATTTTTTACTCCTATAATTGGATTGGATGGTGTAATAAGAAATCTTTCTGTTGTAGGCTTTGAGTCTCTAATACGCTTGTTGGTGGTAATAACAGTTTTTTTCTACATAAAATTTTAGAAAAGTAAAAACAAACAAGAAAACCTATAATTCCGCTTGTTTACTGATGGCTTATTCTGGATAATGCCTAGGGGTTTTGACTCCATATATTATGATATTAGGATGGTGTCTTCTTTATTTTGTAGTTATATTACTCAAACTTGAGCCTTAAAAGTTTTGAATTGATATGAAGACGCCAGGTTTATCCTCGACTTGTGCGTGCCACACAATTTAAAACCCAAAGATTGGGGATGTCTTGGTTGTAGCGACAGAAACTTGGCGTTGGCTCGCGTCTTTTTAACGTCAGTAGATTAATGAAATAAAAGGAGACTATTAATAAAATTAAACTTATCTGGTTAATGATTAATCAAGGTTTAGGTGAGTTGGATTGTAAAGACTTACTAAGACCAAGACATGTCTTCAGATTCAGAAAAAGCTCGCAAAAATACTTACAAATTAACTACTAACAAGATTTTCGTGTCGATAAAATTGAACTTAAAATTAGATCAGATAGTGGAGAACAAGACAACACCTGAATCTCTTTGTAATGATCTGAGATCACAAATGCTTTTGGGGAGTGATGTCAAATACTCGCAACGATAGAGCGCAAGAAGTTGCAGTGATAAGAGATTTCCAATCCAATCCGGTCATCTTTCTCCAAATAATCCTTTTATTGGTTAGACTTTTGACGGTATGATGGGGTTGGCCTATCTAAAATCAATTCGTCTTGATGGTTCTTAGCCTTTGCCTCTCCATCCAAAAGGGTACGTCTGATTGCACGGACTGTGTTCTTCGCCTTTTCTGCATCCTCTTTAGCATTCCCTGAAAAACTATCACAGTGATGGCGTCCATCTTTACAGTAAGTGATAGTAAAAAAAACGTTAGACCGACGGAATTACTTTAATGCTCATATTATCGGTCTCAAGCCCTGAAAAACGTTAGATCCGTATTTCATGAGCTTTTAATTCCACAAAAGGTTATTCGTTGACTTGTTGGTCTTTGCCTCTATCTTTGCTTAGTTGTTGGATTGCAACGCAACTTACAAGGGGGTTGACCCATTGTCAAAATATAAATGGGCATACACATGTGGACATATGTCATTAAAATATACTACTTACTCTTATTATAATTAAAATATTTTTTATACAAGCATCTAAATGTGTTGGTGATAAAAACAAAAAATAGCTCCGGTCCTTTTTTTTGGATACAACTCCGGTCTTTAATTGAGTTGAGCTGATTGAAAATTTAATTTAGTTGGGCTTCCCGGAATCGTGGTGGAAGAGAAGTTTCTGATGGCAATGGGTTTCGTTCTTTCATCCTCTCTGGCTGTATTGATTGATTTGGATCGTGCTTGTGCCCTAAGTTCTGCGATCCCCAGCATTTCTGAAAGGGGGATTACGTAGCTAAGGCCGAAATGGGCCTAACAAAATCATAAGACCCAGTTGAGGTGCTATAGTAGATGAGGCCCAAGGTCCAAGGCTGCAATTTAGCTCTACGATTTTTCTTATTGCATTCCATGCTCCTTTGAGTGATATAAGAAATGAATAAGAATCAATCCAATTTTCGCCCAGAAATTTCACACTTCAATTACTGTTTAACTGTTTATGTTAGTTTCATTTTTTTTTTAATTTTTTAATGTAGACCTTAATCTGTTGCTCTAATAAGCAAAACAGGAAAAAGAGGCGTGAAAATTAGGAAAGAGAAAGGGATTCAAAGTTCAGACTTAAAGAGATTGAGTTGTCCTTCACTTTTTCTCCTAATACTAATAATATGTTATTTTTATCTTTTAGACATATAGCTCCGTATAATTTCTATAATTTTTTATTTAAAATATATCTGAAATTATTTTTCAAAAAAAAGGAGAAAATATGGCCATATCTGTTGCTAGGAGTCATGTATAGTGAACATGTAACTAAACTACAACATGAATAGCGCAAGAAAACCAGGAAAAAAAAATCAAGCATTGCAGGTTATATAAAATATAATATGGCATTGACCAGATTAATTTGATATTATATTCCAATATTTTTAAAGAACAAGTTTTCACTTGATGATACTTTGTTTGACATAATTAAATTTAATTATGAAATCGTTAAAAAAAAATTTAATCAACATCCACAGTTTTCTCAAGAACACATTATTCATAGATCGCCACCCTAGAATGTGATCATATTTATCAAGTGCTCGAGCGAAAAATATCAAATTGTCCCCCCAGTGAATATTAATTAAGAAAAAAACTAAAAAGGAGATCAATTAACTGTTGAAAGAGACATCCCACAACAATATCAAATCACATGTGTCCACAATAAAGGCAATGAAATAAACGCATATAACAAGGGGACTAATAATGAGCATGTTACTGCTTACTCAAACATTATGCTATCAAAAGATTACTACCCTCTGGGTGGATTGCATGTGTTGGGCTTGGCGTGCAATGCATTCACTCCAACCTCCAATGTTATATAATGCCCACATTTGGGATATGAGCAAAATCTTGCCGAGCATCATCCAACAATGGGCATCCATATATGCCCAATGTTTTTAATGATCTGAGATTACGAAGGCCTTCAGGAAGTGATCTCAAATACCTGCAATGGTGGAGCCCAAGATGTTGCAGTTCCACTAGATTTCCAATCCAGTCTGATAACCTTTCTCCACAAAATCTTTCAATGAATACACTTTTGATGGTATGATGAGGACGAAGCCTTTCTAAAATCAATTCATCAGAAGCATTTTCAGAGAATTCATCATACGAATAGCATAATGGGTCCCAATACAAGGATAAATATTGATGATGTTGCTTCTCTTTCAATCTTGCAGACTCGGCCTCTTCAGGGTTTGATCTTAGGTGTTTCAACCTACTTATTGCTAGACTCCCTCTCAAGTTGTTAAGCTCACCCAATTCACTTATCCTTGCCCTTGCCCTTTTCTCATGCATCTCCTGGTTATCTACTACAAAGTTTGTTAAGTTTTGAAGAGAAGTTAATTGCTGCAAACTACTTGGCATCCATTCCAACTTGAAACAACGCCAAAGATTAAGATGCCTCAAGCTTACTAATTTACTAATGTCTTTTGGCAATTCCCGAATTGACGAATTGCAACTAAGGTCTAAGGTTTGCAAGTTGTGGAGTTTGGTAATAGTCCTTGGGACTTGCTCAATATCATTACATGAAAGATCAAGAAATCTTAGATGCTTCAATTTTCCAATGCTTTTCGGAATTTTGATCATGCACAAATAACTTAGGCTCAAAACACATAAGAATTTCAACTTTGATGCAACCAAATCAAAAACAGAGTGATCCATCTGACAAGAAAAATATTTCATGGGCAAAAGCATTGTTCTTAATTTTCCATACTCAAGAAAGGAAGTTGGAACTTTCCAATCTACTCTCGGCACATCATATGACAAGTGACATATTATGTCTTTAGTACTCTTTTTTTTTTCTTCTTTAATGAGAAGATACTCATCCTTTGCTACAAATTGTGCCAGACCATAATTAATTAGATCATGCATTTTGCACCCCACAATGTCACCACTATAACTTCTTTTGACATCTTGGAAGAAGGATCTTGAAAGCATATTCATAAAATATTCATTCCCAAGATCTTCCTTACACCTCATTTGATTAGTTGATTGAATGAATCCTTCGGCTACCCACATTTGAATTAGTGTTGTCTTCATGAACACAAAATCTTTTGGGAACAGGGAACAAAAAGCAACACAATTTTTCATGGGTGAAGGAAGATTATCATAAGAGAGTTTAAGAAGAGCAAAGATTCTCTCCTCCAACTTTTCTACCTTCCAAAGCTCACAATTCCTTAAGTATGACAAATCTATTATTCCTTCTAAGATTTTGTCATACACAAGCCTTCCAACGGCTCTAATAGCAAGAGGAACTCCTCCACATTTCTTTACAACCTCCCTGCCAATTTCTACCAACTCCTTATTATTTGACTCTCGACCCCCTTCGAAAGCCATTCTACAAAACAACTCCCACGATCTTTTACAATATAAACCATTAAGGATAATAGGTAAATATGTGCCCATCATCTTTCCCACCTTCTCACTATGTGTGGTGACAATAATCATGCTCCCCTTCGCTCCCATGGTTAATAAACATTTCAACTTATAACAAATCTCAACATCTTCATTCCACACATTGTCTAACACGATCAAAAACTTCTCCTCCTCTATTAATTATCTAAGATCTTGTTGCACTTCCTCCATCTCTTTTCAACTTTTTTGCTCTAAAATCTTTAGAGCTATTCGTCTAACATCAAATTCATCAAACACACATACCCACCTTCGCAACCCAAAATGTTTTTGAACATCCACATGATTGTACACAAGCTGAGCAAGTGTAGTCTTGCCCAGCCCTCCAAATCCAACAATGGGAATAATTGAAACAGTAGATTTCACATTATTGTCTAATAAATAACGTAAAATCTTATTTTTCTCCTCCTCTCTCCCAATAATTTCATCTTCTAGCACAAAAGAATATGTTTGCTTTCGTTCCTCAAGTACAGGTAAAGGCTTAGGAGGGTCGTCAAAGAAATCAAATTGTTTCTTGTCATTATCAATTTCACCTAGCCTTCCCCTGAGTTCCCTCAATTTATGAGCCATCTTAAAGTTATAAACAACTTGGTTTGATTTTGAGCAGAAGATCCGTACCTTCTTTGCCACCTTGTTTCTTGTCATGATTCCCCTCCTCAAAGCTTTAGTGGACAAATCATCAAGCAGGTCATCTGCATCATAGAGGACATCTTTCAATCTCTTCAGCCAAAGGCTGACTTGATTGTTATTGTTGACCCTTGCCTCTGCAACCAGCAGTGTAGCTCTGATGGCAAGGATCGTGTTCTTCATGCTTTCTGCATCATCTTTAGCATTCCACAGCAATTTGAACTCTTCAAGAGTCAAAGAGGTCAGTCACTGTAAAACATTCCCAGCAATGGCGTCCATCTTTTTGGTGTGGGCGAAAGAAATTCTTATGATTCTTAGTTTGTAGGTTTGGTGAGTATTGTTGCAAACTCCAACTCGGGTACTAACAGCAACAAATGCCTTTTACTTTTTCAAAAGCAACTTGCAACTTCCTGTTTGAAAAAGCTAAATTTGTTTCTCTTTTTTCCCCACTTTTCTCTTTTTGATACATAGTCAAAGTGTGCAACATCAGAGTAGTTGCTTTCCATAAGAAATCCTTTACCTCTTCAAATATTGATATTCATGATATTTATAAGAGACGAAATGATGATTTATTACTTTAGAAGATGATTTTCTATGACTTTCGCGGAAGTTACGCGCGGTAGAAAATTCATGGATGTGCCTGTGGAAAATTCAACAGTTCGGCCTGTGCGGTCGAATTCCCATTGACGCGGAAGGATAAGAGTAGAGGCTTTAGTCCACGGTGGGGACAGCTTCTCTCCCACGCCCCATTGCTCAAATCCCAATCATCCGATTTAATATTTAAAAAAAATATTATTTTTCTTATTTTTAATGTAGTACCTAATTAAAAAATTAATGGCAGTCCTATATTTTTTTTGTTCAGAAATATTGATTTTACATGTAAGACCTAAATTATATGTTTATTATTAAAATTAATAGGGAAAATGACCACAAAATACCATATGAATTTCAAAAAGACAATGAAGGCATCCAAATAAGCAAAATGAGAAAGAAGGTATCAGGTACCAATCTAGAATTTTGATTTTTAGCCTAAAGACCGAATTGCTCTTATTATGTTTGAAAACTGAGGAGATGGAGAAAGGTAGCAACTGCCTCCTCCTGGCGAAAGCAATCCCCCCACTCAGCGAAACCAATCCCCCCACTCGGCAAAACCAAATCCCCCTATTCAGCAAAACCAATCCCTCCACTGAACTAGCAAAACCGAATCCCCTTACTCGAAGAAACCAATCCTCCCACTCAGCAAAACTAAATCCAAGCTCCTCCAGTTACCGAAAAAGGTTCTCTGAAATCACATTGCCGCCGTCACAGAAGTAAAGTGTTGTCGGTGAAATTGATAACCGTTGCAAGAATAGAGTGCAGTCATTTGAATATATGTAATGTATCTGCTGTCATATAGCTACTGGTTTTTGATAAATACTGTTACGTGAATAGTATATTCCATTACACATGTAGTTAGTATGAAAGTTAATGGTTCAATGTTTACTTTGATGTCCTTCAGGTGCAGTCATTTGAATATATGTAATTATCTATTGTTATATGGCTGCTAATTTTTGGCAAATACTGTTTCGTGAATGGTGCATTCTATTACACAAAGTAGTAACTCTCACTATGAAAGTTGTAAATACCACTATGTGTTTTGTAAAATTTAGCGTGAAATTGTATTGTTTTAGATAGAAAAGTTACCCAGCCCCTCACAAGAGGTTGCAAAACCTATTGAACAAGTAGTAAATCTCACTATGAAAGTTGTTATTCCCAATATATGTTTTGTAAAATTCGGTGTGAAATTGTTTTGTTTTTGACAGAAACGTTGCCTAGCCCCTCGCAAAAGGTTGCAAAACCCATTGAAAAAGTAGTAAATCTCACTGTAAAAGTTGTTATTCCCACTATGTGTTTTGTAAAATTCAGCGTGGAATTTTGCTTTTGACAGAAAAGTTGCCCACCCCCTCACAAAAGGTTGCAAAACCCATTGAAGAAGTAGTAAATCTCACTATAAAAGTTGTTATTCCCACTATGTGTTTTGTAAAATTCAGCGTAGAATTGTTTTGTTTTTGACAGAAACGTTGGTCAGCCTCTCACAAAAGGTTACAAATCCCATTGAAAATGTAGTAACACTCACAGTGAAAGTTGTAAATCCTACTATGTGTTTTGTCAAATTCAGCATGGAATTATATTTTTGTAGAGAAAAGTTGCCGTACCCCTCAAAACAGGTTGTCAATCCCCTGGAAGAAGTAGTCAAATTCACTTCACGAGTTATAAATCTCGTTATACGTGTAGTAACATTCTAGGCAAATGATTTAACAATACTTGAAAATTAGGCAGTTTCGTATTTCCTGAAAACAGTTTGCAAATCCCCTTACATACAAATCCCCTTGCAAATCGAAGAACCTTTTTCAGTGACTAGAGGAGCTTGGATTTAGTTTCGCTAAGTGGGAGGGTTCGGTATTGTTGAGTGGAGGGATTGGTTTGGTTGAGTAGGGGGATTCGGTTTCACTGAGTGGAGGGATTAGTTTTGCCGAGTGGGTGGATTGGTTTCGCCGAGTAGGGGCAGTTTTTCTTTCATCGAGTGGAGGGATTGCTTTCACCAAGAGGAGGCTATTTCTACCTTTCTCCATCTCCTCATATTTCAAACATAATAAGGACAATTCGGTCTTTACGTCAAAAATCAAAATTCCATATTGGTACCTGATACATTCTTTGTCATTTTTTTACTTATTTGTCTTTTTGAAATTCATATGATATTTTGTGGTCATTTTTCCAAATTAATATTCTTTTAATAATAAAGCAGGAAAAAGAGGAAGAAAATTGAGAAATATGCTTTGGATGTAATTTATGGTTTTGATTTATGTTGCTGCAAGCCCAGTTTGAATAAATAATTGAGTTGGAGCTTGGAGGGTAATGTTCTGTGACTTTCCCGGAAGTTACGCTCCTAGCAGAAAATTAAAAAGCATTCCTAGCCAACTACGGCGAAAAATCAAATGATCACACCCCAAGCAGTGGTGCCTACGCAGAGGAACATGGGAGGTGGCTTCTTTTCATTCATTTCATCATTTTCTTTTCTTCTTGTGTTTTTTAACATCTTCCCAAAACCCTATTTAAATTTTCTTACTTAGTTATTTATTCTTATCATACCTCTCATTAATATGGGAGCATTGTATTAACAAGTTGTTGGTTAAGAAGGTAGTAACCTTACCCTCCTCATAAGAAGAAAAACACAAATTCGAAACCCGAAAAGCTTACTTGTTTGGAGGATTATTCCTTAACCATTCCAAGTCTAAAAGAAATTAGTTTTAAATCCAATGTGTTTTGAAATACCCTTACTTCACCTACAAAAAAGAAAAAAGGTGGGAGCATTGCTTAAGAATCATTGGTAACACTTGCGAGAAGAATGAAAATTTTCCTCTGTTTTGGTAAAATAGTTGTGTTCTTTATGAAGAACACAGGAAGTAACTTCCTACTTGTACCGCAAAAGGTTTTTGTGACTCTTTCTTTGCATTAAAGTTTGAACTTAATTATTTGCCCTAAAAGAACAACGTTGGGTTGATTAAAGAGCATTTAATATAATTCTCCACAGAATTGAAATGTCATGATATAAAAAAATAATTAAAGCATAATATTTTTAAATCATAAATGTTAATCATAAGGCCTTGGCTAAGAGTAGTGATTGTGGAAGTTGTTGAGTATGACTTTAGTTTGAAAGTTCAGCCATATCTTAATCACTATCGAACTCTTTTTCCCAATTCACAGACTCAAAAGGATAAGATTGATGGCAGCTGGTCCGATTCTCACCACCCCAGCCCTTGAAGTAGATAGTTAGCTATTACTTATCAATTAACTAACAATGATCTGTGGTTTTTTTTTTAATCATTTCCTTAAAAGCAAAAAAAAGGGAGAATTAAGTTAGCTCACATTGGCTAATATCTAAATGGTCCCAGCACACTCCTTGTACAATCTCACCATAAGCCACTATGCTTTTTCATCCCACTAGTTTTAACCCTAAATTTCCTAGTACGTTCTATGCAGAAACACGTCATGTTCTTGCTAACTAAGGGACTCTAGTCAAGAGAAAGACAGCGCAAGACATACTTTTATTTTTTAAAAAAAGGTTAAAGATAAAAAAAATACCTATGAAAATATATCAAAAGTTAACCCAACACCATAATTTTTTTTTGAGTTCAAATATACTAATCAAAGTTTAAAAAGAAGCCAATAATGCCAATACCGTTAAAGTTCATTTTTTTAGTAGTGGAACCTACAATTTTTTTAATGAAAATACCAAAATATCCCTAAGAAAAAGAAGTTAAAAGTCAGAAATAGCTATAAACTTATATCAAATGTTCACCGAACGCCATATAATTTTTAATAAAAGTACAAAAATATCTAAATCTTGAAGGGTTATTGCATTAGAGTGTATTAGAGATTATTAATTATAAGAAATTTTTATTTCCAAATCTTTATAATTAAAAAAGATTATTAATGTTTCTTAATAGATGTTTTTTCTTGATCAACAATTTTTTCTTTTTTTATAAAAATCAGCCAATTGTTATAGTTATCATATTAATTGTTATGGTTCAAAATATTTTAATTCGATAAATATCATACATAATAATTAAATATCTTTTTGTAACTTATTATGTTTTATATTTTAACATCATTATTGCTTATCTCGGAGTGGTTTAATTTTATATTGGCAAAATAAACATTTACACTTCAATCCTTTGATTAGTATTAATTTGATATTTTCATATTTTTAATTCAATTTAAAAAAATTACTTAATTCTAGAAAAAAATAAATGAGGGTGCTCTAAATTTTAATTGAAATAAAAAATATAAATCCATCTTATAAGGTGGGCTTTTTTCTTAAAAAACAGATAAGCCAAAAGGACCATCAGCAAGTTAAAAGGAGATGTTGGTTTCTTTTTTTTCTTACTAGGGATATTTTGGTATTTTTGTTAAAAATAGTGGGTTCCATTATTAAAAGTGGTTTTAAATTCTCTCAAAGAATTAAATATAAATGTAAAAAAGAATTCAGATTAACTGTTAAATTTGATAACATAAACTGAAAAATAAACATAACTCCATATGTCGTTGATACAAAAACTTATTTTTAAAAGATACCTATAATGTCTATTAAAAAAGAAGATCGGGAGTATAAATAACTTATATTTAAAGTGCAATTCAATTTA